GTGGCATATTACGGTACCAACAATTTTTCTCTATGTGACCTAGTCTTTTGCATATATTAAATGGAGTATTTTTATCTAGTTTGTTCTTAAGGAAATTTCTAGAAACTTCTCATCTTCTGGAAGTTTCTTCATAATTTTTCTTTCCTCCATTTTCTTTATTTTGGGACTAAAATTTTAGCTTTTACTGGAAGGCATTTTCTAGTGTATCTTCTTTATGCCTATACAGTCTTTGCTCATATGCTTCAAGAGAGCCCACAAGTTTCGTCACTGATAGAGTGGACAAATCTTTGCTTTCTTCAATCAGTGTCACAATTGGGTCAAACTTTGGGGACATAGTAATTAAAATTTTTTCAACGATTTTTTTGTCAAGAATTTCCTCCCCAAAAGTTCTCATTTGATTAACTATTTCTTTAAGTTTAGAATAGTAATCTTTAATTGTCTCAGACTCCTTCATCTTCAATAGTTCAAAATCTCTTCTTAGAGATTGAAGTTTAACGGCACGTACCGTATTGCTTCCTTGAAACTCCTCCTGCAACACGTTCCACGCTTCTTTGGCAGTCTTAACTCCTATAGTTCTTGAAAAAATTGTATCAGTCACCGCTTGTTGCAAGGTGAACAACGCCTTTGAATTTTTCTGTTTATTTTTCTTCAAACTTTTTCTTGAGTTGCATTAATAGCTGAAGTATCTGCGGGAACGGCGAAGCCTTCTTCTACTATGTCTTATAAATCTTGAGATGAAAAAAATGTTTCTATTTTAATATGTCAGAAATCATAATTTTCACCATTGAAAATAGGGACAGAAATAGATGATTATTGAGTGGTGTTATCCATAGTTTAATTTTTTTTTAGAGTGGGTTAATAGAACAAAGGAAGTTTTTGTAGTAGTTTAGAGGATTTTAGAATGTTAGATAGGTAATATAACTACGCTAAATATATGACCGAACGTAGCTTTGATACCACTGTCAGTAGTTGATTAGTCGATAAGTTTATAAAAGATAGTTTTAGAGAATTGTTTAGAAAGAAGGCTATATCATTGATTTCGTAGATGATTAATTACAAGATACTAATTGCCTATTTATAGGCTCAAGTCACCAACCTCCTAATGATGGTGAATATTTCTAAATTACATTAGTTCTTTTAAGAGTTTTTATGATAGATAAGTATCATGATAGTTTTAAGTTTTTCTATCATTTTCATATATTTATTGTTCTAGATTGTTCTACCATATTTATAAATATTATAATTTTAAAATATTCTATCATTTTCATACATATTATTATTTAAGAATATTTTAAATATTGAGGAAGGGTCAGTATAAATCAACTATAATTACTCTAAATTCAAACCTGTTTTAAATTCATGTACACCTTCCAAAAGTATATATTGAGAAACTGTCAGTAAAAATCAACTATAACTGTTGTTGTCTTGGCGATAAAATATTTAAATCGTCGTTCTAAATACAAAGTACCAATCTTGTTAGATCTGCTACAACTAACTTCCAGTTGCTACAGGCGATAACTATTTTAGACCATTATACATTACAAACAGGCAAAGTACATCAAATGCTATCACACAAGATTAAAACGAACGAGACTTAATAGAAACTGGCACAGAACCTGATAAACTACTTTTGTTACCATACATATTCATTGGACTGCAAAAAATACTTTTGTTACAGAGATTTTGTATACAATTCAATCACAGATGCATGTGATAGATTTGGTATCTATGTTTTGAGAAAACACTAATTATTGGACTGATGACGCTTCTTTGATCAAATTCTACGTATCGAATTACCTTATAGTCATCGCTAACAGAGACATAACCATATCCATGAATTTGCGGTGCAAAATATTTAGAAGGTGCAATAGACTCTATAGGACTAGGAGGAATGACCTTCAATTCATGGGTAAGAGGATTCCACAATACAGTTTTTTTCTCTTCCACTTCCATACTTGTTACACAGAAAGTGCCATTGATACTAGCAGAGCCGACAATTATAATGTTTTGACCTAACTCTTGAGATGGAAGTGATGCATCTGTGATTTTAATTTAAATCGGTTTAGAGCTTTATATCTCAGATATTGTGAAGCAATAATAAACATGGTGTTATTCAATTAGTACTTGAGAAAAAAGGACATGTATCCATAGTATAAAATATTTTATATTGTCAATCAATCAGAGTCATGTATCAGAATAAAATATATTTTTATTTTAAAAATACTAATATTACATGATAATTGTAGATATTTTAATTGATTGTATGTATAAAACTATCTTACGCTGACAGTGCACTATCTTTAAACCCTTAGTACTTTAGTATTTTGTTTCTAGAAGAACGATTTGAACATTTCAAGTCCAAGGCAACAATAGTTCTAATTGATTTCACTTATTCTTCCACAATATCTGTTAGCATGAGAATTTTTCACAACATTTTGACATGAGATATGTAGACTTTTAACAAATTTTATAAATAGATTACTAAGTCTTGATTTCGACACTCAAAAAACTATTCACAAGGTGACTCGAGGGCATTTTCGACAGTAGCAATAGTTTGAAGCAGTTCAAAAATCCAACACACATGAAAACACATCAGAAGATAAAAGCCCGCGTTACAATATACGTGTCGAATTCCAGAGAATTAATCGTTGTTGATAGTTATGGATGTACCTAATATATAAGAAGATTTCGATATTGTAATGGGGTTCACATGTTATTCGATTTTATGTAAAATTAACAAATTCGAGTCACAAAGATAAAGAGTTTTTAAGAAATGAATGAACTCGCGTCTCACTCTTAATTGAATCATTTTCATCCAATTGTTTTACTATTTTTCTTTCTTTATTTTATCCCTTTAAGAACTTCTGCATTTACTTCTTTGAACTTTAATCCAATTACTCTAAATTCAAATATAAAGTCTTTTAGCACTAATACATTTGTTCAAACGTTTCAGACAAATTGTCCTTTATGATTTTTTGAGTTTAATCCTGCAAGTGAATTAAAATTCGTGATTGTTTACTAAAAATACCAATAAATAATATGACAATGTAAAACTGGTTGAAATTCTGATTAACAACACTTAGAGTTAGTTGGCTAAATATGTATTATTTAAGTGTAAAGTAAATGATCCCTGACTAAGAATTTAAGAGTTAATTCCTTGTTAAAGTGGCTTCGGCGTGAAAATACGAGCTATATTGTTCTACATGGCTTGTGTAATTGTGATATCGTCTCCCACGTGATGTATGAAACTAAAATAAGCTTCGATTTTCCTTATTTTTACAAAATGGCACGTGAGAGTAGTGCTAACAAAACGAGAATAATGATAGAAAACCATGTAGAGTCGAGTGAATTTATAATGTAGTCTAGAACTCCACTAAGATGTACCATCTCACCCTATTCATGTTGTTATTTTCAGATAGCTCAAAAAATGATAAGGTAGCAAGATGACCTAAAGATCGAAAGATTCATATGTTTCATGTTTTATTCTGTGGCGTGATCTTATGTAGTATTTTGTATTGATGTCTTTTGTAATTCATATACTATGTTTTGTTTGTTTTTGTCTGTATTATACATGTATTAGGATGTCAACTGGACACTTATATATGCACTTTGTATCAAACCAATGCTTCAATTAATGTAATTCTAGAGGAATTGGATCCTCTCAAATTTTCTCTCTCATATACCCTCTCTCATGTGCAATTATGAACCATTATATTAATCTAACCATTAAAAAACAAAAAACAAATGCTATTTAAAGGAGAGAAATACGCATTAATTTAAAAAAATTCAATTTCCTTAATTTTAAAAATCATAGAGTAAATATATATAGTAAAAAATGATTAAATTGAATATTTTATAATATTATCAATATAAAAAAATAATTATTATAAATCAACTATAATTTAACACATTTTATTGCTTACGTATTATTTTTCTGAAAATGTGTGGCTAAAATAACCGTTAAAGAGTACAACTTATATATGAAAAAACTATTTTTTTCAACAATCGAGGGAATAATTTTTTTAATACACATTCTTAGCAAAGTGCAAGTGATGCTATAGAATGTTCTCCAATAACAATGACATATGTTGGAATTGTTTCAGAAGATTACAATTGTCTAGGATTGTTTTGCTGCTTTTGGATGGAAAAATTATCTGTCACTAATGTAATTAAATAGTTAGTTTAAGTTTTTCTATTTTCTAAATAAAAATAAGAATAATTATAATATTATAAAAATTAAAGAAAATTAATGTTCTCAGTTTTGGATGTGCAATCATTTTTGTTTCTCGAATATTGGATTAATAAATAAAATAAAAGAAAATTAAAATTAATGCATATTTCTCTCTTTAATTAAAATATAAAATTAATTTTTAAATAATTTTTTCCAATGTAAATTTACTATAAATGATTTTTTTAACATGTGTCCCAAGGACACAAGTTAATATTACCCTTCTTTAAGGGTAATGTTAACTTGTGCCCTTGGGGCACATGTTAAGAACTAAATTAAGAAACATTGTCTTGGAAATTGTGTATAAACTTTAATTAAAATATAAAATTAATTTTTAAATAATTTTTTCCAATACAAATTTATTATAAATGGTTTTCTTAACATGTGCCCCAAGGGTACAAGTTAACATTATCCTTTAAAATATTATATGAGGACGTCAATCCAATTAATTTAAACTTTATCGTGAAATTTATTTATATTTGAAAGATGAATACTTTTGAAAATATTATGAAAAAATAATTATTTTGGTGTTATCGTTGAAAAAGGTGATTAAGCGTTAATCTTATTTTATTTTTACCGAACCTTAAAAATAATAAAGTTTGACCCTTTCTTCCGGTCAAAAGAGAAGTTGGATAAGCAACAAGCCTTTGGTTAAACGACGAAAATTTTCCTCAAACGACACATTTGAGCTGTGGCAGTGTTTTGTTTCTCAGAACTCGAACGTGTTCAAATTCGACTGTGAATCGAGGTAGAAGATTATTCAAAATCAACCATGTCGTGTTGTTTATCTTGCTGCGCATCTTTGACATGCGGTCTCTGTACCTCCGTGGCATCCGGGATCTCTCAAAAATCTGCTAGGATCGGTTACTGTTTTCTCTTTGGCGCCTCTCTCATAGTTTCTTGGATTATCAGAGAAGTTGGTGCACCCCTTTTGGAGAAAATCCCATGTAATTTCATCTTTTTAGCTAAAGATTTCAACTTTTTTAGTAATTTTGTATTTGGGTATTTGGGTTAATGATTGGATAATTTTGATAAAATGGGTTTATTTTTCTTTCGTATTTATAGCCATTGGTTTTTCAGAAATTTGGTGCTTACTAATTTGTTGGTTGAATTTGGTTTTTCTGGCAGCCTCATATATCACGCTTATAAATGTATAATTCATGTAATTGGAGAAAAATTGAAACTTTGCTACTTAGAATGGAATTACCTATTTCATATTTGGTTTTGATTTTTCGGTAATCTTTCTATTTGAATACACAAAATGTCAGTATTGTGTTGTAGCCGATATTTAACAACACTGGTGTCGAATATAAGTTTCATGGTACTTTCAAGAGTGTCTAGTTCTAGTGCATGGAATTGTGTTCGTTAAGCTCTCTCAATTGATATCTTTTGTTCTGAGCATGACTCTTCTTGTGCCAAGATTTGAATTTGTTTTTCCTCTCACAGGGATAGACTCATCGGGAACCCACACGAAGGAATGGTATCAAGCGCAAGCGGTACTTCGTGTGAGTTTGGGAAATTTCTTGTTCTTTGGTATTTTAGCCCTCATAATGATTGGTGTGAAGGACCAGAATGATACGCGTGATTCATGGCACCATGGTGGATGGACCGGAAAGATAGTGATATGGCTTTTGCTGATTGTCCTTGCATTCTTCATTCCAGATTCTGTAATGCTAGTGTATGGTATGCTCTGTAACCCTTTTTTTCTTGCTATTGGATCCTCGTGAATTGATGATTGACAAGTGTATATTTAATAATTTATAATTTGAAGGATTCATATCGAAGTTTGGGGCTGGCTTGTTTTTATTGATTCAAGTGCTAATTTTACTCGACTGCACCCACAACTGGAATGATGCATGGGTTGAGAAAGATGAACAAAAATGGTATGCTGAAATTCTCTATATAATTCTTTTGCCTATGGTTTTCTAATTGCCACCGTATTCTTAATAAATGTGCATGTTTAGGTATATTGCTCTACTTGTTGTATCACTCGGATGCTACATTGCAGCATATGCAGTTTCAGGAATTCTTTTTATTTGGTTCAACCCTGGTGGATATGATTGTGGTCTTAATGTCTTCTTCCTTTCCATGACGATGATTCTTTGTTTCGTGTTTGCAGTTGTTGCTTTACATCCTAAGGTAATGAATAGAAAGGTCTTTATGCAATCGAAGCTCTATTTTATATTCCATGTTTTTGTGCAATATGAGTTTCTTGGAAATGAGAGAGCACACGAAGGTGCTGCGATTTCAAGTTACATTCTATGTTTATGATTGAAAAAAAAATGATAATGTAGTACAAAAACAGGTAAACGGAAGCTTATTGCCTGCATCTGTAATTTCACTTTACTGTGCATACGTATGCTACACTGGTCTTTCTAGCGAACCTCGAGGTTACGAGTGCAATGGTCTCAACAAGTCCCGAGCTGTAAGCACAAGTACGCTCATTCTTGGCATGCTAACGACAGTTCTGTCTGTGTTGTATTCCGCACTTCGTGCAGGATCTTCAACCACATTCTTATCACCACCATCTTCACCTAGAGCAGGTAATAGAACAAGTCAGGACTCTTTTACAATCTCTTATCTTTTCATTCACGTCTTGGATTTTTGGATAACATTCATAGTTTTGTTAAATTTGCATGTGTTTATTCACACTTCATCTCCATATAAAGGTTTTTGGAATATGTTTGTTCAGGTGAGAGCAAACCTCTTCTTGAAGATGCGGAAGAAGGAAAGAACAAAAAGGAAGAAAAAGAAGCGCGGCCAGTTAGTTATTCCTATTCATTCTTCCACCTAATATTTGCCCTGGCTAGCATGTATTCAGCCATGCTTCTTTCTGGATGGACCAGCTCATCTGAAAACTCAGATTTGATAGATGTTGGTTGGACATCAGTATGGGTTCGGATTGGCACAGAATGGGTTACTGCTGGGTTGTATCTGTGGACTCTCTTGGCTCCTTTGTTGTTTCCTGATCGTGAATTTGCTTAGTTCTCTTGTCTAGAAATGAGTGATTATAACTATTTATCGAGTAAACCATTAGTTTCGATCATGAACTTCCATCCTTCTTCTCTGTTCCTCAAGTAAATGAAGATGATAAGTAATCACACCGTTTTGAGGACGAAATGAGGGAAGGGGGTGCAAGTTACTGCGCGAAGCTGATAGATTGCTCGATGATAGTATGGTACATAGCAAACCAATCGCGTGTGTAAGGTATTAAAAGTTATGTATGATCTTTCCTACGTACCTATAGAATGTTGTGTATAAGTTCAATCTTTGAGTGATATGCATCAATTTTACTTTGGTAAAGAAAATCAGGTGTATGGGTGGAGAATGTTGGGACATGGAAGGTATATGATATGAAGAAATTGCAGGATCAAAAAATTGGTAGTGTCATCTTTTGATGTTTCTTTAGATACTATTGCCTGCCTTGCTGTGGGGTGTATATCATGTAGCACTACTTGCTGTTTTGATGCTTGCCTTTTACCATTGATGTGGGTACAAACCATGAGAAGCTGTGAATGACAAGTTATATACATAAGACAATCTCTTAAAATCTGGACCAATTATCCTCTCGATCAAGAAATCGGATCATTGGATCACCAGTCGAACCAACGGGTCACTAGTTAACTAGTTAACCTGCATGACGTGGATTTGTGGTCGGGCCTGTGGACTACTAGTTGATCAACATGGCTACTAATCCTGTCCATAGGAAAAAGTTACAAAATATAAACAAAACCATTTATATTTTGAGCATAAATATTTACATATCAAATTTAAAATAATTCTAAATAAAATATATTATTTTCTGACTAAGACAAATATTTAAAAACAAGTGTATTAAAAAATTATTGTTCTTGCATAATATATTTTGATTTAATGAAAACAAATGTTGTTTTGGAAATTATATTTATAAATATTTTTATCTATTCTATGGTATAGTTTATTTAGAGATATAATTATACATTATACTTAATGATAAAGACAAGCTCTAAAACATATATTGGTTTTATAAATATCATTGAATGTAGTCAAATGTCCAACTATATGGTTGACAAGTTGACATCATTCATGTTTTCTCTAGTATCAGAGGATTATATAAATCATCAAACACCATATCAACATCTTTGGGGACGACAGAGGAGTAAACGCACAAGGGTCTCTTGGAATACTTTGTTGAAACTTGAACTAGCAATGACTTTCTTAGACAGATGTGGATAAATCAGGTGTGACCCATAAGCCAACCATTCGGAGTAGAGGGTTATGTCATCAAAGGGACGTGTCTGACGGTGATCTTCGTACCATGTGTGACGTATATCATGTGTTACACTGCGATTAAGAAACAGTCAAAACAGCTCGATCACTTGATTTCCTCTGAGCGGGACGACACACAAGTACGTGACAAATCCTTATAGTAGTCCTCGTCATATGACCAGCTGAAGATGCATGGAGAGTGGGAGAGGATCCATGCATAAAAATGGTTCATATAAAATATTAGTAACAGTGTAGCATAAGTGTTATGAAATGTTAGTAACAATGAAGGTGCAAATATATTATCGTAAATAGTGTGCATCTTGCTATTATCTATCTAGTCTTCCAAAGATAAGCTTCACCTAACTTTGAGTATAAGTAAGCCAAACAAGCACCCTCTAGTTGTACTCATGAATCCGCTCGAAGATAATGAAGTATCTAAGATAAACAATATTGACGTAATAAGCATTTGTGCCCACAAATATGGATGTGCCAACAAATACATGAGATATAACCTTAATGTACATGCTCTATGATGCAAAATCTAGGCATCATCATCATCGGCCTTCAATGCCGCAACCAGGTGGTCTATATACAGTCTCTCCAAAAATGCAAATCTAGCACGACACGCTTTGGTGTCATCCATCCCCTTTTGGGCATCGCTTGGGCCAGCTCCCAAATAGGTCACCATCATGTCCAGTGTATCATGTCTGGTCATTCTAGAGTGGTCTAATAATCTTTCCCTAACCGGAAGAGGTAGCAGGGATGACACATCATCTAGTGTGATAGTCATCTCACCAATCAAAAGATGAAAAGATAATGTCTTTGAGTGTCATCTCTACACAAAGCTAATATGATAATATAAGAAAGTAAGAGATAGAGAGTTAGAGATATTTGAATAAGCCATGTGAGAATAACACTACAAAGACTATATTATATATATATATATATATATATATATATATATATATATATATATATATATATATATATATATATATATATATATATATATATATATATATATATATATATATATATATATATATATATATATATATATATATATATATATATATATATATATATATATATATATAGAGAGAGAGAGAGAGAGAGAGAGAGAGAGAGAGAGAGAGAGAGATTTACCATTAATCACATGACATAGTCGATGTGAGACTTATATACAAATATTCTTTAACGAATAAATACATATTTTATCACACACCCGCAGTCGAAGCGGGAGGTTAACAGACGTTTAAACTAATATGTAAATCATCAAAGAGAACTCTAGGGAGGCCTTTGGTGAAGATTATCAATAATCTGGTGTCGGGAAGGAACATGAAGAACGCGAGCTTTACCAATGAGCTACCTTCTTTCGAACAAAGTAATGTCAATCTCAATGTATTTTGCACGTTGATGTTGGATAGGATTTCAAGATTGGTATATAGCACTAACATTGTCACTGTACACAAGAGTAGCCTGGGAAATAGGAAAATGAAGCTCCAAGAGAAGGTTGTGGAGCCAACATGATTCTGAAACTGCATTAGTAACGCCCTGGTACTCAACCTCTGCATTAGAATGAGAAAGTGCGGTTGTCTCTTGGAAGACCATGAAATTAGGTTGTCACCAAGAAAAACCCAATAACTCGAAATAGATCAACGAGTGTCAGGACATCCACCCTAATAAGCATCTGTGTAGGAAACAAGATTCTCGATGGGAGAATGATAGATATGCAAACCATATTGCAAAGTGCCTTGAACGTAAAGTAGGATGCATTTTAATGCAACGTGCTCAATGCAGGGAGCATGCATGTGAAGACACACGTGTTGGACATCATAGTGTTAGAACAAGATTTGTTCATGACATATTTTCCTTGTTTTTTATGATAACAAAATAATAGTTTATTTGATGTGTGTTACATGTGTAAAGGTTCTAATACTTGTAATGTTATAGTCAGAATCTGTTTTACATTAGCACGCTTTAGGAGTTGTTGAATTTATAACTTCTGGTGGCAGAATCTGAAGAACACTTGTTAAGTGATGTCTAGCGTAGACTCTGAAGCTAAAGGTCTCAACATAAAAAGAAGCAACATAATTGTCTCTACACTTAGTGAATTCAAATTGGCTTCTGCTACCATTCAAAGTTGGTGATAAAGTTGAAGTTGTCGGTACTGCAGAAAGCAAGTTGTTTTATCAAATCAATTTGTCAGCTAGAGTCTACAGATTGCAAGGCTCAAGAAAGGCTGACATGTTTTATGGACATCTACTCTCAACGAATCTAATAGTATAGGATCTCTTGAAGAATCAAATGTTAAACATGTTACAATTGGATCAAGATCTTCTGGTGTATCTATCTTCAATGTCTTTTATACTATGGAGCAAAAGTAAAGACTCTTGATCAAATTACCTCTTCAAAGACTAGTTACTGTAAATGCTATAAATATGGATGAAGGTTCAAATTGAATCTTTAACAAGGATTATCCAGAAGAAGGAGTAACAAGATCATCAATTATCAGCACCATTGCATATGCAGACTTTCCGTTGTAGGTAGTAATTGTAAAAACCTTAAGATTTCTTATGCATTGAATATCTTATAAATCTTAAGTGCTTTAAGTATTTGTTATGGTGATTTCCCGTACCTCTAATACTTGTATCAAGAACACTTTGCTTTCTATTCTGCTGAACTTGTTTAGCAGTTTAGATCAAAGTCTCGAGCCAAGATGCTTGAGCCATGTAAATCTTTTGCTATGTGCTTGAGCAATGCAAGTATTAATCAACTAGGTTGATTGAATAGAAGTCTTGTATCATTGGGATACAAGCAAGGAAGTCTCGAGCCAAGATTCTTGAGCCACATAAGTATCTTGTTATGTGCTTGAGCTGTGAAAGTCTTAATCAAGTAGATTGATTAAGCAGTCTTTAGCCAGTGTGGCTTAAGCAGGTTAGCTTGGTACATGAAACTGGAGCAGTAAGTCTTGAATATGAGGGGTTTAAGTAAGGAGGCTCATTTCATGGGACCTGGAGCAAAATTCTCAACCAGCGTGGCTTGAGCAGGTGAGCTAAGTACATGAAATTGGAGCAGTAAGTCTTGAATCTGAGGGGTTCAAGCAAGGAGGCTCGTTTCATAGGACTTGGAGCAGAAGTCTTGGGGTATGAGGGACCTAAGTAAGAAGTCTTGGGATGAGGGCCTAAGCGAGGAAGTCTTGGGTTCGTGGAACCTAAGCCAGAAGTCTCGAGTGAGGATCTTGAGTAAGAAGTCTTGAACCTTGGTTCTGAGCATTTGTAAAAGTCTTATGCAGAATGCATAAGCGATTGTAATCATGATTTGATTATAGTGAAAATATCTTGTGAAGAAAGGGGACTAGACTACTCTTAGTTTGGGAGGAACCAATATAAATCTTTGTGTCTTCTGATATTATTTATTTTCTTCTGCTAACATTCCACTGCTAAGAATTAACCACAATCTGAACACCAATTTAGATTATGAACTCTGATCAAATGCAAACTAACAAAACAAAAAACACAATTCAACCCTCCTTCTTGTGTAATTTTCTCACCTTCATATAGGAGATGTTAAGACTGGTAAATTTGAGATACTGCAAAGCATCGATAAGACTCTGATACAATGTAGGATCGTTATATGGGGTGTCGACAAAGGTGCTGAGCTTTTGTTTGGTGTTAAATGAAGTAGCAGAAGGTTTGCATAAGGCCATGTCGGATCGAGAAATAATGTCGCTGGCT